TCTTGCTGAGTTTGGTGGAGAATAATGATGGCTTATATTCAAGTTTTCTAGGTGAATGTTGGGTGATTAGACTGCATTACATTTGCACTTTACGGTGTTCCACTTAGAAGAGAGAGGCCCCAGGAGATAGGCTCACACCCACTTATTAAGAGTTGCCCACACGTGGTATTTGAAATTGCTTTTAAGACATCATGGCCCTTGTGAAACATGTATATTCATTGCTCCAGGAAAATGCTAGACGTTTATCCAGATAGCGAAATGACTCTATTTTCTTTAAACTAATCAGTGATTAATTTCCACAGGGCAACTGAGTGCAGCTGCCCACGCACCTTGGTGGTTGGGGCGGTGGGGCCAGATCAAGCCAGAAGGTGTTCAGTGACCTCTCAACACCAAAGCAGCTTAATATATAATTTAACACAAGTAAGTGGGGATTTTCCATTGCAACAGAAACTACTGATTTCACCACTTGCAGTACCTTTATGGATGTCATTGTCCCTTTGCATCAGACCCTTATTATAATTTCAGATCTCTGGGGATTTTCGTCCCCTCATAGTTTAGTTTAAGAAACACATTGTATTGCTTTCTGTAAATAGAAGCATGTGCTGCTTTTCCCTGAAAATACTGCCTTTTGATAGTTCTGTTCAGTTCTTTTAGATCCTCATAGCTGAATAGGAGTTTAGGGCTCCAGCAGACAGCAGTCTCTACCCATCTGGGTCAGTTCTGCACCCAGGAGTCCTGTGCAATGGGGAAGGGCCACAGGCAGATGAGCCCGTGCTGGGACTAGGGAGGGGTCTGGGACTCAGGGCTGCTGATGGTGTTTTTAGTTTCTGGCTTGCCCTCTCCCTGTGCTACATTAGGTTGTCCTGGGACCAGTGTCACCCCTAGCTGCTTTTTGAATTGCCTTTCCCCTCCTGCCGTTGGGATGCTAGTGTTTCAGATACGTGGGGGGAGCCTTGTGTCACTGTGGCAGGAGGATCTAAAAGGAAGGGACTTACTGCTCTTGAGGGTGTCACTGTTAAGGTCTGGAATACCGAGGGCACAGTCATATGCTCAAGTGACGTGAGTCTGTTATATACCACTCAGAAGAGTTTCTTGCAATATTGGGACCTGTCAGTCCTGAAGCGGGGCAATTCCCCAAGGAAAGAATGTATTTGGTTCTGGTTGTTTCTTTGTAATAAGGACAATAAGAGCAAGGAAGGACAAGAATTCTTGCTGAAAACACTGGATCTTGTGCTAAGTGCCGTGGAGGATACAAAGAAAGAAAAGACATTGTCCCTACGTTCAAGACGTTTACAATCTAGTGAGCAAAGTCAGCCTGTGTGAACATAAGCAGTAATCCAAGCCTGCGCGCTCACACCATAGGAGAGCTTTAGACCACAGCTCTTGATAGCACAATGACCGGGGACACACTGCTGAGTGGTGAGCTATGTTGTAAGCAGCTGCGTACTAAAAATAAAGCATCATGTTTGTGAAGGACTGACTTAAATTAGACTGGATTCAAGGTCATGCAAATACTAGTTCACCATCACTGGCTGATGCTTCTTTGTCCTCCTTGGAATTGGAGGTTGGGGTGACAGGCAGCCAGGAATTGCATATACTGTCAGCCTATCTAATGGGGGAGAGGGGGACCTGAGAGTGTGTCCTGGAAGCAAAAGGACTGAGAACGGTGGTTGTGGCTAATGCCTTCCATGGGATTGAGAAGGAGCTGGAGGCCGATCACTGTTTGCTAGGATGGCTGGGCCAACCTTGATGGCAGAGGCTGGACAGTGCCTTGAATGAAGGGTGGGGTGAGCGCAGTGGAGAGCTCTGGGTTTCCTGATGGTGAGGATAGTGGCATACAGGGCCCTAGAGGGCTGGAGGACAGTGCCCTGACCAGGTGGCAGAGCATTTGGGAATGTTATAGAGCCTTGAACCCTGGACTCGATTGCAACGCAGGGAGCAGGGCCCTCAGCACTGGCAGTGCCCATCTACCACATAGTAAGTGCTCGACAAATATTTGCCAAATGAATAATTAATGAATTGTACTCTGACAACTGGACTTTATCCTGTAGGTGAGACATGGAAGATTTGACAGGGAGGTGGTGTTCCCCTGACATATCAAAACATACCTGATCTGGGGCTCATTTCATTTGTTAAACCAGCCAGTTTGAGAAATCAATACCGGGTGCTAATGAAAAACAGCAGCTTAATATGACATCTCTCCCAGCTGGTGTCAGAATTCTGTGAGCCTTCAAATTGCTACCTCATGGCACATGGGAGATATCAGGGCTTGGTGCAGGAGGGGGACGTTTGGGTTGGAAGATTTTGTAGTTTGTCTGGATGTCTCTTTGAGGAACCATATCCTGCTTCTGTGCATAGCAGATCTTGGCTGGCTTGTACCTTGGTGATCAAAATCCGTGTGGCTTCCTCATGATTTTGTCTCCTCTCTGGTTTAGCCTATGGCATCTAAATTCACAGAGCTCTCTGAATACTGGGATTTCCTGTGCCTTGTCCTCCATCCTCTCGGTCTTCAGTAGGGCTGTCTCCCTGGGCTGCAACTGCTTGATATCCCAGCTGAATCCCTTAGAAGTGACCCTGCTAAAAATGGCAGCCCTTCCTCACTGCCTGTGGAATAACGAAATAAAACCTCTACATCCTAAGTTATGCTTTTTATTGCTCTGCAGTTTTTCTTGTTTTGTTTTTAAAGCAAACCTGGTTAAATGGACAGTTTTGAGGTTTTTTTTTTTCTGATCACCAGCGTAGGACTCTGTAGCAGCCTAATTATAATGACTAAACTGGTGTATTGATAATCTGGTTACTACCTGCACAGGGAGCATGCTGTCACTTACTGCCCCTTAAATACACTGTCCTGTTTCTGGATCATCAAGAGCAACTCAGTTTTCTTGAATTTTTCCTTTGTTGCTGACCTGTGGTTCACTGCCTCTTAAGATACTATTGACAAGTGTGGGGGGAATGGAAATTGACAAGCCTTGACTCATTCAAAACTTTTAAAGAGAGGATTCTGCTACTTAACACCTCTGTGCTACAGTAAGCAGCTGGAAATCAGTTTTGCTTTTGCACCAGTCAGAAAGTCCTGTGGGCTTAAGGTTTGCATTTGGCAGCAGGTTGCGACATTTTTAGAGTTCCAGCACGGAGCTGCGTATACATCACGTTTCACTCCTTGGACTATTGATGGCTGTAGAGCCACGGTGGCCCTCCATATCTGGCAGGGCTTGTCACTTGCTTCTTTATGAATACAGCTTTTAATACTCTCTTACTCCACCTGGCCAGCTTCGGGAGGGCCAGATCCCTGGCATCCCCTTACTTCCGCCCTGCCCTTCTTGACTACATTTGAATGTCAGAAACATCAACTATGGTCTGCCCTGGTCTGTCCTGATGGCTTAAGGTTAGTCCTTTCACCCTGGGTAGATGAGTCTCCTGGGGCAGCCCTTAGGCTGATGGTGGTCTCTCATTCTCAGTGGACATAGGATCTCAAGCATCTGTGGACTATTACATAGACAGGCTTGGTAAGGAGGTCTCAGTAGCAGCTCAGGGAGGGGGCTGCAGGGACCCTCTATAACCATCCATTCCTTCTCTAGGGCAACCATGCAGGGTGGCAGAGTTGGTAGAGTCAGACCAACTTGGGTTTGACTCCCTGCTCTGACACTCATTGACTGTGTGACCTTGAATGACTCATTCTGCCTCTGTTTCTATACAGCTGTAGAATGAGGACAAGAGTAGAATTTGCCTGCAGAGCTGTGGTAAAGAGAAAGAGACAATGTTTAGAAAGGCCCGGGTTCAATACCACGCACAAAGCAGGTACCCTCAAAGGTATTTATCATTAGAGAGTTTGGACTAGCTTACTTTAATGATAATATCGTCAGTGTTCTCTGAGCTGACTGTATACAGTCTGTGAAATTGAGTTAGATTTTTTTTAAGCTTTTTATTGGAATGGAGCTTTTAAAATTGAGATGATATCTGCTAAATTCTTGTTACTAGAACCATATTAGAAGCAACCCCAGAGCAGCGACTCTCTGGTAGCCCCTGTGATGTCTTGAGTAGTACCAGGCCAGTGGCTGGGCCCATGGATGCCACTGAAAATGGGAAGCTCTCTTGTGGCCTCTTGGATTCACCACTGGCCTTGTGTGTGCAGCATGCTCTAATCGAGAGGTGTGTGGAGGTAATGGTAGGTTTACATACAGTTTTAAGAAATAATAGAGATACCCAGGTGCTCTTTACCCAGTTTCCCCTATGGTAGCATCTTGCAAAACTATAGGACATTACCACAGCCATCACACTGATATTGATGTTGTCAAGATACCACGAGAGGATCCCTTATGTTGCACTTCTGTGGCTGTACCCACTTCCCTCCTGCTCCAACACCCTCCTTAATCTCTGGAAACTACTAATCTCTTAGGGCCTGGACCTCTTACCATAGGATAAAATTTTATTGATTGATTGTGAGAATGAGATTAATATCTATATTAAGTAGCCATATCATTTTGAAAAAAATATCATACAGCCAAACCTAACCCTTAATTAAGAGAGCAGAGATCCAGAAAATGAGGCCAAAGAATAATTTCTTACATTAGGGGAAGATAAGGACTGTGAAGGTGGTTTTCAGAGAAGTGGGAAATCTCAGTTTAATCAAGAAAGGTTAGGAATTATTACTTTCATATACCACTGAATTTCTGTTCCCCACCCTGGCTTTTGTTAGGTGCTTTTGAATAATTTCATTCTTTATCTTATTTGAGTATTATCAGGAATTCATCTTAAAATATTATGGCTGCTACAAATATTTACAAAGATTTATTGCATCCTAAAGTCTACATTTATGATTTCTTGAGGTGACAGCACTTCCTTAGGGATTTCAGTTCTGATTCTCAGATTAGTGGGGAAAGTGGAATTTGATGTTCAGAAATGTTCTAGAAACTTGGCTGGTGTGTAGCAGGCCTCTGGGACTACCAGAGAGTTCTTGGCCTTGCCATAGCCGCCCACTCACACTGTGTTTCTCTTCCCAGGAGCTGGGGTCAGAGAGGACGTGTTTCTTATTTGGAGGGAGATGAAGGAAGCCTGCAGCACTCTGACCCAGATCCAGAGGCTGGTCGCTGAGCCACCCAAGTCCAATGTGGACAAAGTAGACCATGGTGGGTGCTGTTTATGTTCATAGTGTTACCAGTTGGGGATGAAGGGCTGTTTCCTGAGGAGTTCTTCCAGAGTTGTGCTATGGTTTGTATGTGTGTGTGTATGTGTGTGAGTGAACGTGAGTGTGTATGTGCATGTGTGTGTGAGATTGTCCAAGAAAAACGAGCTGGACAGGAAGGTGGTAACTATTGCTAGGGAGAAGAGGCCTCAGTGTAAAGCTGGGCTCAGTGATGACTACAACATGGACAAGTGGGGATTTGCAGCCAAGGAGCGGGGTGGGGTTGGTGGATGGAAAATTACTAAGAGGAAACATCAGGGGTAAAAGGGGATTCTGGCTAAACCTACCTGACAGGATTCTTGCTGAAGGCAGGCCAGGATGACCAGATATCACCTGGGGGTGGTGGGCTATGAGATATTTGATCAGATGTGGAGGGTGCGGGGATTCTGGCTAAACTGACTTAGCAGGATTTTTGCTAAAATTGGGTGATGCAGAGACAAACATCGAAGTTCAAAGCTGGAGGCCTAGTTGAGAAGAGGATTCAGAGGAACCTGAGTTTGGAGTGAGAAAGTCCTTGTTGCAAATCCCAATTCCATCATTAGGCATTGACCCAAATTAATCTTTTTAAGCTATAGTTTATTCTTCTGTTAAGTAATTATATCCGTCTTGAGGGATTGTAAAGATTGAGTAAAATAATGTCTGCTTTGCACCAAGCAGGTATTTGATAAATGTTAGCTCACTCTTTTCCCTTTCACAGTTAGAGAGTTAGTATACTGATTCTCCTTTCTGAATTCTTGAGTTAGTAAATGGCTTTCCTCTGTAGGGCACTGGTTCCATTTAGGGCACCTCTGGTAATAATGGTAGTTAACATTTACAGCACATACCTTACATGGCAAGTCCCGTGCTAGGCTCTTCACAGTATTCACTCATTTAACCTTCCTACAATCTTATAAGATAGGTGCTCCATTTAGGTTAAGTAACTTACCCAAGGCCACAGAACTAGAAGTAGTGAGACCAGGATTCAGAACCTAGTTCCTCAGTAAAAGTATCCAAGTCTGTCTTTCACCCCAGACATTCTGATTGAATCCGTAAAGTATGCAATTTGGACATTGAGGGTTTTGAAAGCTCCCCAAATGATCCTAATGTATAGCAAAGTTTGGAAACCTTTGCCAGGCTGTATTGCCTCCTGATACCCTGCCTATATTACAGAGGTGTCAATGTGGGAGGAGAGCAAGGAGCCAGACCAGCTGGGGCAGGGATGCAGTTGAAGAGGAGAAGTGGGGAAGGGACATGTGTAGAGGGAGGAGGAGGTTAAAGGCATGGGTAAACTTGCCCTGTGCAACCTGATAAATTCCTTGTGACAGTGACTTTTTACTGTGACTGGGTGTCCAGCTGTGGGTCTGGGGCAGCACAGCTGCAGTTGCTTTGCCAGTGCCAGCTCTCCGGGGTCCCTAAGGAGGGGCCTGTAGTGACACCATACTTAATGTGAACCCAAAGAGTCCTCTGTCATCCTGAGAGCATGAAAATGAAGCAGGGGGCCTTGGGTTAAAGTCAGCATCCATGGTACACAAAGAGAATGGTGATCCTGCTGCTCAAGTGTTGGGGGGGTAGTACAGTGGACTGAATTGTTCCCCCAGAGTTCATCTGTTGAGACTCTAACCCCCAATGTGATTGTATGAGGAGATAGGGCCTTTAAAAAGGTAGTTAAGGTTAAATGAGATCATAAGGGTGGGACCCTAATCCAGTATGACTGGTGTCCTTATAAGAAGAGGAGGAGACGCCAGAGACCTCTCTCTTTCCACGCGTGCACAGAGGAAAACTTATGTGAGGACACAGTAGGAAGATGACTGTCTACGAGCCAGAAAGAGATGCTTCACCAGAAACCAACACTGAGGGCACCTTGATCTTGGACTTTCAGTCTCCAGAACTGTGAGAAAATGAATTTATGTTGTTTAAGCCACCCAGTCTATGGTATTTTGTTGTGGTAGCACAAGTAGACTAAAATAGGGAGTATTTAAACTTGGGGAAGTTAGTCTTGAGGATTAACAGAAGATTTTTAGATACTATTTCTAAAGGAAACAGAAAAGCTGTTGGCCTCAGTAATTGATAGAAGGATAAATCATCGTCCCTTTATTTCAGTCTAACACACACACACCCCCAAAACTAAAAACTAAACATTTTCAAAAGATGCTTCACATATACTATTTCTATTTAAAAAGGAAAATTTGGTCAGGACCTTTCCACTGTTGGATACTCATTGAAACTTTTATAACCTTGATTTGGCCCCAGAGACCATATTTGGAGTGTCTGATCTGCTCCTCTTGCCACCTATAGCACAGTGTTATTGAGGCAAAGGAGGGTCTGCTTCATGTGAAGGCATAGCCATTTCCTAAGTTTGGCTGCCCAAGGCCTGCTAGGTCAAAGGAGATAGCATAGCCATCTGGAGAGGGATGGGTTAGGATGGAGGTCAGATGGGCTGCCATTGCATGTGAAACCTTCATGTGAATTAGACAAAGTCGATCTTCCCAGGCATAGCACCCCCACACGCCCCCTGGGCTAGGTGCACTGGTTCAGAGACCAGCTGGCCAGGAGGGTGATTTCTGGCAGGGATGATTCATCAGCTTGATGCCTAGGATAAGAAGTTGGTGAGGCCAGAGACTCCAGTCACTGGTAATTTTGACCTCTTTTAATTACCAAGAGTAGGATATGAGAAATCTCGGGGGTGGGGGGGAATGACAAAAATATATGAAATAATAGTTTTTAACCAACTGAGCCACCCAGGCACGCCTGAAATAATGGTTTTTAAAGACATGGAACACCAAGAAATGAAGGCCAGTGGTCCCTGAGATACAGGGAATATCCAATGAAATAATAGTTTTTAACCAACTGAGCCACCCAGGCACGCCTGAAATAATGGTTTTTAAAGACACGGAACACCAAGAAATGAAGGCCAGTGGTCCCTGAGATACAGGGAATATCCAAGGTGAGCTCTGTGAGTATCTCAACCTAATGCTTTCAGAGAGTTTCCAGGCCATGTGGTAGGGAGGAGGATTCCAGGTGGAGCACAATAAACTTCCGATTCTGGGAGACAGAGCTAAGAGTCCAGGGAGACCAAGAAATCTAGATTTCATAGGACAAATTACCAGAGAGGAGAGAGGTACATGGAAGGAGAACTCTGGAAATCTGCAGAGCCCCGCTGCTTGAGAATTTGGCTCAATATGGAGGAACTCTTTCATGTGGGGAGATTACCTGAGGCTGGGAAAGATCCATTGGGAAGAATTGGAAAGAAAAAGCTTGGTGCTCACACAGGGCCAGGAACAGTGCCCGTTCTTAACAGCCCTAGTGTAATAATTCATAACTCATGGGGCACTGGGTGGACTACTTGGGAAAGTCTTGCCTCAGTAATGGGGAATGAGTAGCATTCAGTGGAGCTCTAGGCCCTCTGAGGAAATCATCAAATTAAGACATGAAGGAAAGAACTCTTTATAGGTAATGAAACTGCATCTCAGAACAAGGTTCCAGAAGCTTTAAAAGAATACAAAAACAACCAGTAGCCAACAAGGTGAAATTTACAACTGGCTTCCAGAGATTACTAGGTGTGAAAAGAAGCAGGAAATATTTCCCTTAATAATCTATCAATCCAATCCAGACTCACTGGGAACTGATACATTAGGATTGACAGAAAAAGAAATTCAGTTATTATAACTGTATTTCATATGTTCAAAAATTTAAGTAGGAACAGGGATGATATAGTTTTTTTAAAAAAGATATATGTTGAACTTTTAGAAATGAAAAGCTTTTAGGGAAGAAAATATCTTAGATGAAAACATGCTGAATGGGATCAATGGCAGATTAGACATTGCAGGGAAAAAGATTAGTGAACTTGAAGACACAGCAATAGGAACTATTCAAAATGAGACACTCAGAGAAAAAGAATAATAATAAACAAGTAAAAACCAAACGAAAAACAAACAAAAGAGCATCATTGAGCTTCAACTGGCCAAAATATATATGTAGATGGAATTTCCAAGGAGAGGAGAGAAGGGGGAACAGAAAAATATTAGAAGAAATAAAGATTGAAAAATGTCCAAGTTTGATGAAAACTATAACTCAGATCTAAGAAGTTCAATGGATGCCAAGTACAAGAAAATGAGGGAAAGTATACCAAGGGACATCATAATCAATTTGTTCAAAACCAGTAATACAGAGGAAATCTTAAAAGCAACTAGAGGAAAAAGAAGAAATGTTATATACAAAGGAACAAAGATAACCACAACAGCAGAATTCTTGTTGCAAGTGAAAAGACAGGGGAGCAACATCATTTTTTCCCTTTCAGTACTTTAAATTTTCAACCTAGAATTCTATAGTCTATGTCTTTCAAAAATAAAAAGGCAAAATACAGATGTTTTCAGATACATGAAAGCTGAAAGAGCTTATTATAAGCACATCTGCCCTTCAGGAAATATTAGAGGATAGAGAATATCAGGAATAGAGAACACAGGAGATAACTACATGGATAAATATACAATATTTTTCTATTTAGATATCTTTAAAAGACAATTGACTAAACAGAAATAATATCTGTGTACTGTGGGGTCTATAACATATGTCTAAGTAAAATGTATGACAACAATAGCATAAAAGCAGGAGAGGAATGGCAGCATTAGAAGTTCTAAAGATGAACAACCCAAATGTCCACTGACAGATGACTGGATAAATAAACAGTGGTATGTACATACAATAGAATATTATTCAACCTTTAAAAGGAAGGAAATTCTGACATAGGCTACAACATGGATAAATCTCAAAGGTGTTACCCTAAGTGAAATAAGGCGAACACAAAATGACAAGTATTGTATGAGTCCACGTATATGAGGTGCCTAGAATAGTCAAATTTATAGAGACAGAAAGTAGAATAGTGGTTACTAAGGGTTGGAGGAGTGGGAAATGGAGAGTTATTATTTAATGGGTAAACAGTTCCTGTTTGGGATACTGAAAAAGTTGTGGAGATGGATGGTGGTGATGGTTGCACCACAATATCAATACTAAATGCCACTTAATTGCACTCTTGAAGATATCTAAAATGATAAATTCTATGTTATATATGTTTTACTATATTAAAACAACAACAAACCAATGCTTTGCAAAACAAAACAAAACAAAAAACAAATCCAGGAAGGGAGAAATGGAAGTATGCTATTACAAGGTTCTTAAACTTGTGCGTGAAGTCCTATACTGTTAATTGAAATTAGGGTATGATATATTGAAGATGTTTGCTATATACCTAAAGTAACTACCAAATAACAAAACAAGCCAACAAAGGAGATAAAATGGGATTAGAAATACTCAATCCAAGATCTGTCAGAAGGGAAAAAGAGAGCCAAGAACAAATAGGGCCAATAGAAAACAAATGGCAAGATGATAAATATAAACTTAACCATACACATATCAAGATGTATCAGTTTGTACACTTTAAATGTGTGTGGTTTACTGTATGTCAATTATACCTCAGTGCAGATGTTAATAAAGTAAAAGAGGATGTGGATCACTCCTGAGGTGCTGAGCTGTTCAGAGATATTGGTGTTAATGCATCTGAGCATTCTGTGTGTGTGTGTTTGAGTGTGCCAGGTATGACTCTCAAATGAAAAGATGGCTTTTCTCACAAAACGTTCAAGAATTTGTCCAAGTTAGGGAGACTTAACTCTTCTTTGGATGATGCTGCAGCTCATCATTTCAGGAGCTCCTCATTTGTAATAACCTTCAC